AACCCTGCTAATTTCCGACTCACCTGGTTCATCCCGAGCTCTGAATGCAGCACTAAATCCACCGGTTATCGTCATGATTTCACCCGATCTGAAACGAACCATCATGTATCGACCAGTCGAGCGAATTCGTTCTGGTATATCGTACCCACACAATCTTCCTTTACTATCGCTAGAGCTGTCCTTCCCGTCAAGAGCTTCCACATAATCTGGTGTACATTTTGAGGAGGGACCCTTCGGTATACGAAACGTCTGAAAGCTTAACTCGATTATGTTTCCTTCAGGCACAACGATAAGCCATGTACAACTTAAATGCGGATAGTAACGTTCGGCCGGGCTTTGAAGGGTTCCATAAAAACCACTTAGTTTTAAATTGTTGTTGTAAACGTTTCCAGGATAACAAAATTCCTCGGGATTTCCAGCTATGTAAAAGGAAAAATGAATAAATAAATAAAAAAATTTGTGAATAAATTAAAATGAAGATGAAAATGAAAATAATAAAAAAAGGAACTGAGTTATAGTTATACGTCATCCACCGCTTCAAGTGCGTCACCTTAAGGTGACATTTTAAAAATTGCTTCCGCGTTGTGAGAATAACGCTCGAGGTGTTATCTTTTCCCTAAAAATACCTATACAAAAATGACTGTTTTCTCAAATTGTGAACACATTCTTAGAGAAATTTTTAAGTCTTTCGAAGTAATCCGGGATTTGTTTGGTTTTGCTTTGCCTAGTCATGTGATAGGTCCAGAAATCTTGCACCACTTTCTCAACAAACCTAATAAAAAATTAAAACCAAAGGCGACTTGGTCACACACGTTTTCCAACGCCTCAGAGTCTCGCAAAAAGAAAAAAAAGGCTTTCGTTGAGTTTAATGAGCATGATCTACTCACATAACAGCACAACAGCTCTTACTGGTTTCGCGAAATCATGTTTATGTTCCAATAACCGCTAAAATAGTGAGGTAGAAAGGTAAAGTAGAAGTTGTACCCGTAGGAAGTGGCCCACCCAGCCTTAGCTTATCCTAGTAACCATAGCATGAAAGGACTAGGAGTATCACTACTACCCCCTGGATGGGATGCTAGTCCATCGCAAGGTTACCCCTACCCCGGCACCCCCTCCCCTTGCATTTTATCAGGCCTCCCTGACAATTCGCTGATACCCATTTACACTCCACATGGGTGGATAGGGGTATTGTAAGAGTACAGCGTCTTGCCCATGAACACAACTCATTGACACTGCCAGGTCTGGAAGTCAGACCACTCGAGTCGGAGTCCACCGTATTAACTGCGTCTCCCGAAATGGTGAGGTGTATTTACAGTGAGTTACTCCGGAATAATTACATACGCCTCTGCAGCTGAGTCCAAAGAAAAGCAAAGTATTGTAAATGAATAGATACTCACGAGGATCTAAAGCCTCGAACCGTGCTTTGAAACCTCTCGGTTTATAAAACCAACTGCCAAAACCAGAATGAAACTTCACCCACATGTAACTTCCAGTGGAATAAACATCATAACGATAATTTACGTCAAAACGTCGTAGCTCAGGGCTTCGAGGTGATTTACCATCGCGTATCTGGAAGGCATCATCAGATTTTAAGCTAAAATGTTCAAAGGTAAGCTTCACTCGTTTGCCAGCTGGAACAGAAATAAGCCAAATGCATGTCCAGTTTGTTGCGTAAAAAGCTGGATAACTAGGGGTAAAGAAGGTACCATTGAACCCCCTGAGGTGAATGACTTTATCACTTGATGAGCGACAAATTGTAGCTGATTCCTCTGCAAATACAAGAAACAGCGTAACTCTTTGAAGCGATGTTAAAACTATTTCCTCTCAACTTTTAGCCAAAGTAAAAATTGCACCAAACTGTGACTGAAAGATATCAATTCAGAGGGAATAAGCATACACAGTGCAACACTGGTACTTTCGAGTGGTTTATCCTAGAAGTTCCAACATGTCGCTTGTATTATCTTGGTGTTAACAGGAGCCTTAACGGAGTCAGTGAACAAAGAAAATAGAAGTGACATTTGGGAAATTCCCTACTATTTGCAAAAAAAATTTGCATTGAGTACCCTGCATACAGTAAAATTTACAGTGTGTATGCACATTGTCATCGACTTGCTATCTTACAATCACAGTTCTATGCAATTCTTACAAATTAAGCGATTTCGAATTTGGACGCAACCACACCTTACAAACCGTCCGAGCCCTCCCTTCCGCGCTTTTAGTAGGGGTTGAACCCCTAGAGGGTATGCTTCCTGATGTTAGAAATAGCTGCACTTTGACTATGGCTACAAATTGGATTTGATCATCGCCTAGCGAAGAAGTAAACATAGGAACCCGTGAACTGAAACATCACATCTCATAACCCCACCCAATAATTTCCCTCGCGTGTGATTGGTCTAAACGCGTCATGTGGCCAAATAGACCCCGACTAAATCTGGGAATATCCAAAGATATTCCTCAATTTCAAATTAAATTAAGATGGGAATTTCGCATTGAAACAAAAGGTATTTCGGTCTTGTCGAATAAGCCTGCAGACATAACTTTTTCACGATAAGGTAACTTGCGTTTTCTTTAAACGGATCTTCCAAAGAAACTTCTCTAACGGTTCCACAATGCAAGTGCACGAAAGATTGGACGCCATCTACTGCTATTACTTACCTTTATTAACAGCTGAAAAACTTAATTTAAACCCCTTGCGATTTGTGTAACGATCTGTGCTGAACTCGACAAATAAGTGTCGTCCAGTAGAATAAATTAAATCAGGCGGAGTCGCGCCACAGTACGCGGGTCCAAGGATGCTCGAAGTGGTGTCATTTCCGTCGTAAAATATAAGTTTATCCCGGCAGGAACTGTAAACGTACATGTCTCCTGCCAGTTCGAAGGCCTGAAATGTTACCTTAACTATGAGTTCATTAGGTGCTTCAAGTATCCACTTACAATCTTCATTGCTGTCGTACGGCGAAGGGTAATTTGGACTCGTGAGTGTTCTGACGGAAGATTCGGAGACATAGAGTACCTTGGCATGATACGGACAAACTGAAAACGTAAAAAAAGAAGACAGATCACTTCAGAATTGAAGATCAAAATTTACAAGGCATGATGAAAGTTATTACTAATTCATTTATAAAAATCTATTAAAAAAAAATTTGCTACACAGCGCTTTAAAATTAGTGTTTAACCTCGGTTGCCTTATTAGCGTACGTATAACTCTCTTAAATTAGGCAATTCATTAACCTTTTGAACCTTAGAGTGACTAAGCTAGCAAGAGCTAAACTGATAAGAGCAACTTTCTATTAGATTTGAAAGTAAAACAGGATTACTCTATTTTTGCTTTACTTCGCTAAGGGTTATGATTGGTCTAAAAAACTCGCGCCAATCTCTCAACCAATCAGATGCAAAAGTAAAATCAAGCACGACTTGGTCGCACGCGCCTTCCCGCGCTTTAAGTAGGTTGTTTCCCATTGGCTCTTAAAGGTATTTTCCTTTCTTCTAATTGGTTATTGTGATTATTTTGGTTTCGGTTTTATCACTTTAAATCCAAAAGCACTCTATAAACGAACTTGCCTTCGCGGAAAGAGATTATCTCATGGAAAGTGGGCACGAATGATTCTTATACACGAGTTGCGATACATAAAAAAAAACAAAAAAACAAAAAAAAAAAACAACGATTGAGCGCAGCGAAAAAGTGAGTTTTTTGATGCATCGCAATAAGCGAATAAAAATCGTTCAAGCGCTTCCCATGGTATGAAGTTTTTACTTCATACAAACCGAGATTTTTTTCACATTTCAATTCAAAGATTGAAAGCGAACTGCTGTTAAAATACACTGTTCGTCCAATCAGAGACGCGAACGATAGTGCTTCACAATGAAAATCTGAGTATGTATGAAATAAAGTATATTCTTGCATACCGTAAGTTTCCTCAGCTGTGAACGTGGCTGTAAATCCAAGGTGCCATGACGTTTCATTGTCTGTTCTGAGTCGCACCACGATGTACCGGCCAGTTGAGTAAATATTCATTGGCGTTACAGAGCCACAGAATCTGCCTCTCCTCACACTAAAACTGCTATTCCCATCATAAACCTCCACAAAATCCCTTGGGCATCCCCACGGATGACGATCAGATTCAAGGTCCAATCCAGTAAATACCAGTTTTATAATTTTGCCCTCTGGAACAGTTATAAGCCAGTCACAACTTGAATTCAGGAGCTGGCCCTCAGGACTTCGAAAACTTCCACTTAGGCCATTCAATCTCAGGTTGTTATTATTGGTGTTACCAGGAAAACAAACCTTTGTAGAGCTGTTGGCTGCAAACAGAATTTACACATGTTAAAGAAAAGAATTTCAAAACTGTATTTCCTAGGCTAGAATAAGCACTTGATTATGGGCCTTCAGCCTAATAAGAGCCCTCCCCCAAGAATATCATGTCAAACAATTACAATCCTCTTGAATGAACCCTTATATAATAATAATAAATAATAATAACTTTATTTAAGTGTCAGTGTATTTTAGCACTGCTGTGCTAATTGGGGACACTGTAAATAAGGAAACAAATATCGTAAATAAACAGAAACTCGTTAAAAACCCCAACTGGTAGGAGGCAGACCAGTTGGCTATTTACAAAGCGTGCAGGAGTTGAATTCGGGGCCACCGAAGACAAATCCATCCAGTGGCAGGGAGGAGGACTTGAACCCGGGACCTCCGGCTTACAAGTGCAGCGCCCTAACCACTAGGCCACGCTCGCCCCTCTCTCTCTCCTCCTCCCTCACTTTGTAGGTAGTTAAAAAAGATGCCTTGCACCTGCTTAGCTAGACAAAATAAGGAAAACTATGGATGAACCCTCTCTTGAAGTGAAACCCAAAACATTTAATTTTTCACTTGTACTTCCTTAGTATATCAGTATGTAAACTTTCCATACTATGCTCTAAACATTTCCCAAGGTGCTGACAAAGAAAATTTGTTTAACAATCAAGAGCTTCTTTAGTTCATGATCATTTCCTTTATTCTCGCAACCTAAATGTGCGATTCTGGGATGATATTGTAAAGAAAAGAGAAAAGGTGCTAATCACTCGTAAGGCTCAACCCTTTAATTCCCAAGATCTCATAAGTAATTCTCCCTACTGTCTGCCATAAAATACTCATGATTTCAATTTGGAGAATTTGGTATTGGATCAACTTGTAGTCCCCTAAACGAGTTTTTTTCTCTTCTCCTCACTTGTCTGCTTGATTCTGCCACCCATGGGAAATAAAGGGTTAAAGGGTTATGCAAACCTTCCATTGCATACCACACAAAAATGTTGCATCTCACCATCTTATAACATGCCTGAGAAAATAGATGTCAAAGTAAAGATAATATGGGAGAACTTCATTTTGAAAGCAAATAAATTTGGGTAAAGAAAAAGAATGATGTTTTTACGTCTTGTCACGGGTGTGGAACAAATAACACCTTTCTCTATTTATTGACTGAGCTTAACCCTTTAACTCCCAAGATCTCATCAGTAATTCTCCTTACTGTCTGCCATGTAGTTCTTGTGATGTTAGTTTGAAGAATTTGGTATTGGATCAACTAATTATCCCCTAATTAATATTTTTCTTTATTCTCATCACTTGTCTGGTCAATATTGTACTGATATTGTAAGGAGAAATTCTGTCTTGGTCACTTGTGGGAATTAAAGGGGTTAAAACTTACCATCTTTCTAATTCTTTTGAATTTGGATAATTTACACAATTTTTCAAACTGTGTTATAACAGACATTACTGCTCTGTTTACATTTTCTACTCTGTAATACAAAACGTTTACATAAAATTAAGGTGGGAAATGCAGTGGTAGTATTTTTTGGGTGCCAAATCCAATTTTCATTCCCTATCAAGAGGCTCTGTTTGCCACCTTATAAGGATGTTATGGTGGGCTCTTGGTCCCTACAATTTACCAACAAAGCACTTCCTTCCCTTCAGAAGTTTTAAGGGATTACCACCAAACTTGTGGAGAGACGAAACTTGTGAGGCCAGCAATGGCTAATGTCTAGCATGCTCATTCTGGGTTGAGAGGTCTGGGTTGGAGAACTGTGTGGGACAATGCCTTGTGTTCTTAAGCAAACATATCACTCTCACAGTGCCTCAGTCCCCCTCCCAGGAGTACAAATAGGTAGCGGTGAAATATCAGAGAAGCCTGATGAATTGTTGGGGGGGGTAACTTGTGATGGACTGGCATCCCATCCAGGGTAGAGTAGTGATCATCTTAATCCCTTCACGCTAAGGAAATTGCGACAATCTCCAGCAGTACAGCCTTTATCTTTTTATACCAGACTATGGTCATGATAATATGATAACTTACAATGGTTGAGCTGGACTTAATTACAGGTAGCCATTTTATGTTACAGAAACAAGGACAAATCCTAGGAAAATCACAGTCTGCCCTTGGTATTAAATTTATGCATCATGTCATCATTATGGTAGGGTTATTTCATCTTCAGTTCTCTCTACTTCCTTTCAGGACACACAAAGTTAAAACTTACCAATTTCCTGAGCAAATGTGTTTCTAGCCATCAAGGAAAATAGCACCAAACCTGTAAAAAAAATTCAAAATCCTCCATGAAAAATAGAAGGACCATAATCAATTTCAAAATTCACTTTGAGATATACAGGAAACAAGCACATGTAATTTTCATGAGTTGTATTAGATTAGACATTTGACGGCTTCTCATTCAATATGAAATTATTGATTCACATCTTAAAAGAAAAATTACTCTTCCTTGTTGTAATTAAAGTGGTATTTTCTCAGTGCCCCCTTAATCACAGCATCACTGAAAACTGATCATTGAAAATATCATCTCCCACAGCCTGGCAAAAATTTGCATGTGAAAGGAGAGAGTCTCGGAGAGTCGTTTGAATGTATCACTACCAAAATTCCAAAAATCTGTCAATTGAGCCCTTGTATACACTTAACAAAAGTGAAATTTTGTCACATTCGCAAATCGAGGTAGTGTTGAGTTACAAATTTTTGGATTAAATTATCCTGTCACTATTCCATTTCATGATACAAACTGGATTGTTTTATAAGGATATCCAGGCCTGAGAAAAGCCATAAATGCTCACATGTTAAGTTGTGAAACAAGATTCGGCCCAAAACAAAGATGTCACCAATCAAATCTGACACTTAGCTAAAAGTATCAATGTACAGATTAATCAAGGTGTTTAGGACTGATTTCCATGAAGGAAAACCACATTAACCCTTTAACTCCCATGAGTGACCAAGACAGAATTTCTCCTTACAAGATTGATACAAAATCAAGGAGACAAGTAAGGGGAATAGACCAAACTTTCAATTAGGGGATGATAAGTCGATCCAATTCCAACTTCTCCTAAGGAACACCAAAAGAGTCGCATGGCAGACAGTAGCGTGGATTTCTAATGAGATCCTGGGAGTGAAAGGGTTATGAACTTGGTCAATCAACACCTTGATGTCTCCATACCGCCTGATATTGAAAGAAGAAAGTTATAAATCTGAACGGATCATTTTCTTTCGATTTTCCGTAACCTACCTTCCTGAACCTGCGGCAAATTCTTTTTTTTTTTCAATCAAACATGAAAAGACACTATCATTTACTTGGAAATAATTTTAATATTAATTTTCCGTTTAAAAAAGGGGAAAATGGAGAGGATGTATTGTGAAATGATCAAGTCAGAGTTTCAAGGCACCTTGCACCCAGAGTAATAACCTGATTTGCAAGCTGGTTCAGCTGATCGACACTTCGTCGTTACGAAAGATGTGTAACTCCATTACTGACCAGAGGTGGTGGTATACACCACTGCCGACCATAAGGAATAGACAAACTTACCTAGCATCATCCAGGCTTTGGTAATTTCTACTGCAATGAATTTCATTCCATTCTTTTCACGATAGCAGTGTGTTTGTTTTCGAGCATGCGAGTGGACTGGACACAAGACACTCAAATAAAGGTACGCAATACATACAAAACAATAACATTTCAGCATCAAAACTCTTAGACGGCATCTAATGTCTACTCACAGTAATACTACTGGATCATTCATTTAGGCCATGGGAATAAAGGGGAATGACCCCCAACTTGGGAATCTCTGATTGCTAAAACAAATTGTCCTTGTCAGAGCCGAAGAAAACGTTTATAGAACAGTACGGAGAATATGCATACTGATTTTGGAGTGTAAACAGTTAAAATACTAAGTCCATAAACTCTCAGAAGTTAGTTTTTTGTTTCAAAAGGAAGTTAAGCATAAGTAAAAATATATATCCCGTTTTTCTTAATCCATTCATGATGAGGAACCACTAACCACTTCCGTAATATTTGAAGAACCCATGGAGTTTCAAAGGTAAACTTCTCTGATTTTCTCGTTTTTCATAGCTTGGTTGAACGAGTGTGCCCTGTGGAGATACTCCTCCCTCCGAAATACTGTTTTTTTTTGTTCAAAGTATGATGTAGAAATAACTGAGAGAGAGAAGGGATTGTTTTAACTCTGCTCATTCTTTAACAAGATTTTCAACATCTCAGTTAGTATTTTGACTCGCAGTCTGCGTCTAATCAGGTAAATGTAATTTACGTTGTCAGAGTTCAGTCTATGATGATCAGAGTAAAAAATATACGTCATTAGACAATCAAGTAAGATATTGAAGTTGTAAGAAGTGCGTGAGAACCTGCCT